AACTTACAAACATTATTTGGGATGTGGTACTTGGCACAGTGTGTCATGATTATATATGCCACATTTTGGTAGATATGTTTTGTTTGGGCTGAGGAATAGCAAATGACATAAAATGCAGTTTATAGATCATTTCAGCCTGAGATGCACTGTCACTATTTTTTAAGTAATTTAAGAAATAATTTAAGAAGTTCCTCAGAATCACCCAGTGACTTTGATAGAATTTAGCACGCAAAATGTAATTGGCAGTGACTTATTTGCGTTCTGTTTAGTGATTGGTCCTCTTACTTACATTTATTTACATACTGATTTGTGATTGGTCTTTTCTTTCTTTTATCTGTTTAACCATCTATAGGTGTCTTTGTGTTGCTTCTGCTGCCTTGCAAAAACTGTTATTTGCTTTAGGTGATGCAAATCGACTTTATTTGTTTTTTAGCATCTGTTTTAATTAATTATAATTTGTTTGGTATTTGAATACTTTCTTTCACAATGTCTGTTTATCAGTATGTTTGTGTGTGTGTGCATTGCAAAAATAATCAGTATTTCAAAATTAAAGCAAATTAAACCATTTAAGAACAAAAATTACAGAATTAAGAGACCATGCATTATTATTTGGTCTTGTTTTTTCATGATAACAATGTAATTTCCATAGCTTAATTTCCTTCAATTTTCTCATGATCTTGAATTGAGTGAAAAAAAATGTTTTAAGCGCAAGTCTTGTTTTAAGCATAAATTCACTGTAAAATTAATGCTTAATTAATTCAATTAAACATTTTAACCAATAAAGTAAAAAAACTAAACTTATTAAAGATATATTCTCTAAAAACAAGTCTTATATCTATGGAAGCCCGTTTCCGCCGCTGAATAAAAAATAAAAAAAAGGTTATTGCGACTTTTTATCTCACAATTCTGACTTTTTTTCACAGAATTGTGAAATATAAACTCGCAATTGCGAGTTATAAAGTCAGAATTGCGAGATATAAAGTCACAATTGCGTGATATAAACTCACAATTCTGACTTTTTTTCTCAGAATTGCGTGATATAAAGTCACAATTGCAAGTTATAAAGTCAAAATTGCGTGATATAAAGGCACAATTGCGAGATAAAAACTCGCAATTCTGACTTTTTTTCTCGCAATTACGAGTTTACAGTATATCTCGCAATTCTGACTTTTTTCTCGCAATTGCGAGTTTATATCTCGCAATTACGACTTTTTTTCCTCACAATTCTGACTTTATAACACACAATTGCAAGTTATAAAGTCACAATTGCGACATAACTCGCAATTATGACTTTTTCTCACAATTGCGAGTTTACAGTATATCTCGCAATTCTGACTTTTTTTTTCTCACAATTCTGACTTTATAACACACAATTGCAAGTTATAAAGTCACAATTGCGAGATAATAACTCGCAATTCTGACTTTTTTCTCGCAATTGCGAGTTTACAGTATATCTCGCAATTCTGACTTTTTTTCTCGTAATTCTGACTTTATAACACAATTGCAAGTTATAAAGTCAGAATTGCGAGTTTATATCTCACAATTATGACTTTTTAACTCACAATTGCGACTTTGTATCACGCAATTCTGAGAAAAAAAGTCCGAATTGTGAGATAAAAAAATCGCAATTACCTTTTTTATTTTTTATTCAGTGGCGGAAACGGGCTTCCATATATATCCTATGAAATTTGCTTCTCAAATAAATGTATCTTGTAATAAGGATGTTTTTAAGGAAAACAGCACAGAAGTACTGCAGTGTGTGTGTCTGTTTCACTCACTGCATTGAATTCTTGACTGTATTCTTCACCTCATCCTGTGTGAATCCTGCTCTCGTCTCCTTCATATCTGCTTGACCATGAGTGATGTTTGTTAAAACATTCATGTGTGTAAGTGTGTGTCTTGTCACCTCACTCCTTCTGTTCAAGGCTACAGGTGTCTGCCGTTCACATCCAGCATTCTGCACCAAATGCTGCCATAAACACAAACACCCACAGCACTAACCAAATAAACACAGAGGGTAAGTGTGAACTATTGATTTCTATCAGGGAATATTTCATGGAGACATTGAGGGGTTCATTATTTATACATGTACAACAGAAGTGCAGTGATGTCTGCTGGCAGAGCACTAAAATACAGTGGGTACGGAAAGTATTCAGACCCCCTTCAATTTTTCAGTCTTTGTTATATTGCAGCCATTTGCTAAAATCATTTAAGTTAATTTTTTTTCCTCATTAATGTACACACAGCACCCCATATCGACAGAAAAACACAGAATCGACAGTATATATAAAAACATCTCGCTTGTATCATGCGACATCGGTGTGATCGGCAGTGGCGTGGTGGGAGATTTCTAGCCTCAGAATCTGTTCACGGGGCATCTGAGGAACTTTGCACACAAAAATGTCAACAGCTCTATCAAAATGGCAGGCCTGATTTATGCAATTTCGTGTGAACATTGTGCAAAACATTTTACAGCAACCTGTGTTACACGGTCATACAGATTTGGACAATATGAGGGAAATGTTCTTGAATAAGCACCAGTGTTATTTTAGTATCACATATATATACTATTATAGTTTTTTTTTGTTTAATTTTGAATTCGATTTTATTTTTTTATGCTTTTTTTATTTTTAGCTCTTTTAGTACTTAAGGTTAAACTAAATGAAAATGAGTAATGTTGCCTTGGCAACTAGCTGACAAAATAAGCTTACGTTTTAAATTTAAATTTAATTGAAATAAAATGACATTTAATCTAAATTTTAATTTAATTTAATTTTAGAATTTTAAATACATTTTAAATTGAATGTTTATTTTGTTTCAAGTAACATTTTTTTTTAATTGTTTTAGGTTTATTTAATAACCCTGATGAGCATACTGTGAAAAGCCATAACGTGCAATTATATTTTCAAATTGTTACCATTTATTTATTTCAACCCGATCTGACTGTGAGCGATAGAGTTGTGATTTAATGAAAGTCTAATTAATTCAATCATAAAAAGTTAAAATTTAAATAAATAAATAATTGCAAAATAATATCTTTTGAAGACATGCTCTCATTCAGAGATGTCCAGTTATTGAAGCAGGGTTGGGTATGAAGCTGAAATGTTTGCACATTTAACATTTAATGCATTTGACACACACTTTTATCCTATCTGACTTAAATTGCATTCAAACTGTACAGTTTATCAATTCGAACCCATGACCTTGAGATTGCTAGCTCTGCCGTTTGAGCTAGAGGAACGCTTTGAGACGGGAATGTTTACACAAAAAACCTGTCTCTTGTTTAGTTAGCAACATGAAAAGAAAGCATTCTTGGCATATTTTTAGATATGTTAGGAAAGGTAAACACAGCCATCCTGAGGCTTCTTTGATCAGCTGACTCTCACAAAACTCACGCAGCTACACTTTCTTTGCAAGTACTTGTAATGCAGATATTTTCATTGGATTGCCTAGTTACATAAAAAAAAAACATTTCATTTGAAATGTGCAATCAGATTAGTTGTTTCGGTAAAAATCTGTGCGTGTTTTCAATCAATGTGGACCAGACGCTGTGCTGATAGTCAAACGTCTGGCGACATGAGTCTGATGCGTGTATGTGTGTGTGTGTGTGTGTGTGTG